TGTTTAATTTATGCATTTGGGTCTCCCCAGGTTTACGCCATGTCACGTAGTCGCTGTCGGTGTTCCTGGGATTTCCTTGGATGCAGGAAGGCCCCGCGAAGTGGATACATCAACGTGGATGCGGAGGATTCCGATGTGCCCATGGCCTGTGGAGATGAACTTGGAGATCAACGCACTACAGCTAGTCTGCTCACTGGCCGCCTCCACATTCAGGATGTCAGTGAGATCTTGACAATGTCCCATTTGAATCATAGACCTATTTTTTCCACAGGGAGCGAATAACGCCTCCAACGCTTAGTGAATCTCAAAAGTATTCCATACACTTTATTGTCCACGTTGTCTTCAAACGGTGGTTGTCATCGGTTAAGTTACTACTGCAAACTACGTGCCTCTACTCCAAGTACAACGAAAATAGCCCTAATTTTAATGATCCGCACTGGTGGCGCCAAGGATTCGCGTCGTCAGGTCGTAGAAGCCAAAGAAGAATGCACCGCCCAGTGTGATCCACAGCACGCGCGGCACAAAGCCAGCAAACAGACTGAAAAGTAACATAGACGTACATTAATAAATGTAAAAAACCATTTTTAAAGTTCGTGTGGGTGAAAGGAAAAAATTACCCGCTGACGCCTCGCTCCAGATAAATGCCATGCAAAATTCTTCGGGCACTGCGACGCCGATTGAGACTCTCCTTTTCAGCTAGCATAATTCGGGTCTTCACCACATCGAGCGGCGTGGTTAATCCCGCAGAAATGCCACCAGCGACAGCTCCACAGAGAGCCACCGAAAAAGGAGTGGAGTCGAAGCCGGTAAGGGGAGTCCATTGCCGCTTAAAGTACTCCCAGAGGGGGAACTGAATCAGGCTGAATGGAATCTCCCGCATGATAGTGGAACCGAATCCACGGTACAGACCGCGTTTCAATCCCTCAGTGCGATAGGCCCGCAGAAGGATTTGCAGGCCGGACTGTTTGTTGCCCAGTAATGTTTGGGAGCGTTGCTTGGCAATCTCCACGGGAACACGGATCAAGCAAGCCAACTAAGGGATACAGAGATTCGCCAGTTTTGCATATCAGCTGCACAGTTTTAAATGAAATCCTACCACTTCTGCTGCTGAAGCCGCCGCCATGTGGACATAGGGTGAATCTTTGGTTTGGGTGACCGAGCTGAGGAACTGCTTTCCGCACTCGTATGTGCAGAAAAACAGGGCCGCCGTGGGAGCACTTCCTGCAGCCGCAGGAGCAAGTCCTTTGTAGATGCCGCTGAATCCTCCTGCCCGCCAAAAGCCCAGCTCGCTTTGCAGTCGGGTCTTTACTGTGTCTATGGGAAAGAGCGCTATGTCCACCACCATACCAGCCACGCCTCCAGCCTACAAATCATTATTTAAAAACTGAATTCTGATTTAAATTCGAAATACTTACAACAAGTGCATGTAGAAATTTTAATTTATTGACCGGCTCTTGCATGTTGATTTCCATGGACTCCGCGGCCGAATCCAGACCCAATTCCGCTGCCATGTCCTATAAATGTTGTTGGGACATCCACTTTAAGTCATCCCGTTAGAATATTAACTAAAATTATTTTAGTAAACAAAAACATAAAATGTGGTTGTTAACGTAACAGTCAGCTGCTTTTCGCTGGTCTGGTAAGGCTGCAAATAACAGCTGCTTGCTGTAGAGTTGTCAAGATGCTGGAAGCCAAACCACTAAATATATTTTTTAAAAAACATATATTATTTTGTAAAAAGTGTTATTAAAAAAAATATGGCGTATTGAAATTTAAGAATTTTCATTTAAACGCATTAACATTATCATTTTGAACATGTTATTTTGTTATTTAGAAACAAATACTAATTGCCTGACAACCCTAAAAGCCGTGGTTCTTCGCAAGAAGCAGCAGCTCCGTTTTGGCCAAGTGGAATAAAATTGGCCGTGATTTAACTGATAGTAGAATCCCAACTGCAGCGGTAGAAAACAAAAATCCAAGGATCACATCATGGCCCTTCGCTTGACCCAGAGATTGCTGCAGACGCAGACGCCGTTCCTCACTCGCGTAAGTTTTCACGGCCGGAAAATTGGACCACAATTGCAAATTACATAATGCGCGCCTGCCAGATCCTATAGATCGTACTTATCGATCCCAATTGTAGGGCTATCCCTTGCTGGTGACCAAGGAGAAGACCGAGGATGTGGCCCACACCAAATCGGCGCTGCAGAAGAAAGTCACGGTGAGTTCAAACGCTGGAGCTCATACCCAATTGAGGTTATAGCATCCGTTTACATATCCGAGAACAGGGCACCGATATTCCCTCGGCACAGTACGGAGGTCGTCATGCCGTCACCATGCTGCCGGGCGGTGGCATTGGCCCCGAGCTGATGGGCTATGTGCGCGAGATCTTCCGGTACTGCGGTGCACCCATCGATTTCGAGGTGATCGACATCGATCCCTCCACCGAGGGCAACGATGATCTGGAGTACGCCATCACATCTATTAAGAGGAACGGAGTGGCACTGAAGGGCAACATCGAGACCAAGTCGCAGTCCTTGACCGAAGTCTCGCGCAACGTGGCCATCCGTAATGAGTTGGATCTGTACGTGAATGTGGTGCACTGCAAGTCGTATCCGGGCATTCCAGCCCGCCATCACGACATCGACGTGGTGCTCATCCGCCAGAACACCGATGGTGAGTACGCCATGTTGGAGCACGAGTCTGTGCCCGGAATCGTGGAGAGCATGAAAGTTGTGACTGTCGAGAATGCCGAGCGTGTGGCTCGCTATGCCTTCGAGTATGCCCGCCAAAACAATCGCAAGAAGGTTACCACCATCCACAAGGCCAACATCATGAAGCTGTCCGATGGTCTCTTCCTGGAGGTCGCCAACCGTGTGCACAAGGACTATCCCGAGCTGGAGCACAACAACATGATTATCGACAACACCTGCATGCAGTCCGTGTCGAATCCACACCAGTTCGACGTCATGAACATGACCAACCTGTACGGCACCATCGTGTCCAATGTTCTTTGCGGCCTGATGGGCGGAGCTGGCCTCATTTCCGGCAGGAACTACGGCGACCATGTAAGTCTCGTCGCCTTTTGCGTAACGCATAATCCTACACTTTTACCATATAATTTTCAGTACGCCATCTTTGAGCCGGGCACCCGTAACACCGGAACCGCCATTGCCGGCAAGAACATCGCCAACCCTGTGGCCATGATCAGTGCCAGTATCGACATGTTGAACCATCTGGGTCACAAGGAGCACGCCAATGTCATCCAGGAGGCTCTCTACCAGACCATTGTCAACGATGCCATTCGCACGCCAGGTGATCATCACACCCACAATTTTCTCAATAAACAGAAACACCTTTATCATCTCAAACTCTTGCAGATATTGGCGGCACCAACTCCAGTACCGATGTGGTTGAAAATATACTCAAGATCTTGAGTGCCAAGCGCGTGAATTGGTAAAATAATCGTCTGCATTTAGAGTAGTTCTATTTGTTCTTTTATTTCGCTGTCACAACCAAGTGTTGTATTTTCTATTACGTATTAAGCAAACAAACATCTATCGCTTGTCCCCTTTTACTTTACTGTCGCGATACGCCCAGCCTAGGCGGGCCTTCTTGTATTATAATTTCATGCTGTTATTGTATTATTTTAATTACTTACTGATTACTTCAGCAGAACTGTAAGTGTTATTGCCGAATTGGCCTAACTGTGTCCTAACCAACCAGCACACCACAGACTTCACTTAACCACTAACTAATTGGTTTCCTTTTAGTTGTTTTTGTTTTAAGTACTTCTTCATGGGTGACACATGCTCGTTAGTTACCTATAAGAGGCCACTTAAAATGTGTTTATATAAATTCGACCACTGTTTAGCAATTGCTTCGTTGAACTATTTTCTGTTGTATATTTGTCCTAAGTAGTGCCCCAGTAGAACACACAACCACACACATTCAGTACACAAGTATGTAGTATTTTCGTTTTGAACGTGTAACCAAATTGTCCTTGTGCAGCTCTAATGAAAGAAATTCTGTTTTTTCTCCTCTCCCCGAAAATCGAAAACGCTTTACCGCTCCGCAGGCCACATGGAAACTATTTTAGCCAATTTTAGGCACTATCGCACTACCGAATTCAACCAACTGCTAACAAGCTCAGCAAGATAAACCAAATCGAACCAAGTCTAATACCAAACCAGTCAAAATTATATTAACCCCACAACTAAGCCAATTTGAGACATTTTGTACCCAATGCCAATGCATTCAGCGTTAATGTGATGCCCAGAAAAATCGGTATAATCAAATCGAGGTTGAATTATTCCGCTGCTTAACCCAAACAAAACATGTTACCCCGGCTAAATGTCCATTGTGTGTTCATTCGATGTCCAAGTGTGATAATTCAGGTAATACAAACTACAAATATTTTTAGTCTTCATTTCTTCAGATCGATTTAAGAAGGTTCTAATCCAGTTTTATCTTATATTCCACAGATTTTCTTGCCGGCCCTATGCAATGTTTCTGCACTCTGATTCTTTCTTCTAAATTCCCTACTGAAAGCTGTATATTTTCTTTTATTTAACTTTCAACGAAAATAACACACTTTGCGCTTTTCAGCCAAGCTAGTTCCACAATAGTCAATCAAGCGATATTAAATTGTACATTTTCCAAAAGATTTGTAATATTGAAAAGTTGATTCAAACAAAATGTATTATTCTGTTCGAATATTTATTAGTAAAGAAAAAAGTAAAAAAGACACTGAACTATCATGTTTTGTATTCGGGCGGTAAAAGGCTTGTGAATTTGCACTATATTACGAAGAGCAGGTATATCTTCCATTCCAAACTGTCCGAAAATTTGTAGTGAATAACAACGTTTATACTTCGAAATTTGTTGACTTGGGACCGCATACCTGTTGTGCACATCCTATTCAATGTATTGTATTTACTATCATCACCGTAGGCATATGTGCCCCACTTGAACACTCAATAAGAAGGCACAGGTTCCACTTCGGTCAGTTTTATCAGAATTACTTCTTTGTTTATTAAACCTTAAAAAGAGCGACAATCCAGTAACCACAAGTAGCGAATGGGCAGCTTAGAAACGCAGCTTCTGGAAGAACCACTTGTTCTTGCCCTCCTTGTAGACGGACTCGAACTTGACGCGGGTCTGGAAGCGGTGCGTCTTGCGCTTGACGGGGTCCTTCAGGTCCTTGGGCGACAGCTTCTCGAAGCTGATGTCGTGCGCCGTGTAGCGGGTGGGCATCAGATGGTTGTAGTTCAGGCTCTTCAGGAAGGGCTTGACCTTGGACTTCTTCTTCAGCTTGTTCTTGCCCATCTTCTTGGTCACCTTGCGCGGGTAGCGATCGATGCCGGCGACGAGGGCATGTCCGAAGGGCTTCTCCGGGGTTCCATCGTCGTGGGTCTTGACGATGATGGCCTTGCGACCGGCGTAACGTCCGCTAAGGACGATTACGATCTTGCCCTGCTTCATGATTTTCCTCATCTTGGCGGCTTGCTCTGTAAATTAAGGAAAAAGATTAAAGAACGTTAGTAAATTTGTCAGACCTGATATTTTTATTTAATACTATTTGGCGGGAAGGTTCATAGTATCATCTGCTAGTATTGATCTTATAGAAGACATCACGGCACAACAGAAGGAAACCAAAATAAGTTTTCCAAGCAACACGTTTTTGGTCACTGTGGGGGAAGTATTGTGGTACTACAGTTTGCCGGATGTCTTGAAGTCACTTATTATCTGTAAACACACTTAATATATCTCAACTGGAATACACAAATCGTATGCAATTCAGATGATATATTCCGCTATACCATGCGGTAATGAGATATTGTGTTTTTTTCATAGAAGAGATGGTGGCAGAGCCTCCATGGGATTCGTTTTTTCTGCTTTATGGGACTGAAAATGCTGTTTCACTTCTTTTAAAATCATTATTCATTTTGAGGGAGCGTAGCCTTTACAGTGCACACCACTCGCAGTCCTACCGAATCGCAGAAAAATATATTTTGGCTAAAATTTAACTAAAATTACACGCGGAACACACCACTCACCGGAAACGGGCGAAAAGAAAAGAAGGGGAGATTTTGGAGATGGCACAACGTCGATCACAACGGCGGCATCATCGGCACAAAGTTTATCGATATTTAGTGGTAACATTTCCGGTATTTTTGGTGAGGTCTACCATCTATACCATTTTCTACTATCTGGGCACACTGGCACCTGTATTTTTTTAGCACCTCAATTTTTTAAATTTTCCGTTCGTAAATGTATAACATCAATTAGTTGTGGAAAAACACTTAAAATTTATTAACAAAATAGATTTATTTTATGGTAATCATTTAGAAAACACAATACATACTAATCATTGCTTAAGGAGAGATACTACTCCTTCATAGTACTCATATTTAGCGGAAATGCCCGGGGCCCTACGTCTTTTTCTGTATAATCTTAAAGGTATTATGTCGATTCATGACGTAGCTGAGGGCAGTGGCAGCCGTAGTCAGGCCAGTCAGATACCAAAGGCCCTGCAAGGCTGGGTGATCTGGCGTGGGATGATACAGATTTGATTAATCCATCTTTGAAAAGTGTGCACTATATCTCACCCAAATAGTTCCAGATGGGAGCACCCAGGCTCAGTCCAATGGTGGCCAACTGGACACCCGTGTTGATCTTGCTGAGCAGCGTGGGCTCCAGTTGGGCAGTAACATGGGTGGCGTCGAAGTAGCGCGAAAAGGTTTTCTACCGAAGAATGTTAAATGATTATACAAACCAGTACCATAAAATCGTAGATAAATCCTTCACTCACCGGCGGTGGCAGACTTATGTAGCGTATAACAAATCCAGCTCCTAGGAGGAATACATCCCGGAACACCACGATGCCCATGAGCCACATGGGCAGCAGATCCGTGTAGCACAGCGCGATGACCAGCGAGCCCATCAGCAACTTATCGGCCATGGGGTCCAGGAAAGAGCCAAACTTGCTCGCCTGCGAAGGCCACCGTCGGGCGATCTGTCCATCCAACTAAAGGAACAGGAAAAAAATCTTAAATAGGATGCTCAAAATATGTTTTTTAGTGTCTTGGTTGGCACACCAATGCCGATGTGAAGCGTGCATGTATTGCTTAGATAAACGAACTATTTTTGGCTTTCGTCTGAGCGATTCGGGTAAAAAATGCAACATTATACATATATATTTCGATTCTGAAAGGTACTACATACGTAGAGGAAAACAAAACACAGACCGGGCAGAAAACAAGACAATAAATAATACAATAGAATACATCACGTGTTTTTTGTTTTGCTGAAATACTAGTGGACCCAATCAGACTTTCAGTGGTTAGGATTTTTGTTCAAAATGATGGTTCTGGGAAACTCACCAGATCTGTGAAGCCGGCGAAGGCTAGAAGACTCATGCCTAGCGTGAAGTCGCCCTGGACTATTACATATCCGATGTAGGGTGACAGGACGGCGCGACTGATGGTCAGCATGTTGGGTATGGTCATGATGTTCTCTCGCTCCTCCCGAATCTCGTCGATCTTCTCGCGCACCCGTTCCTGGACCTTGTGCCTGGCCTCACGGATGTCATCTACCAGGAAGTTCTTCCTGTCGATGACGCCCTGCAGGAGATGGCGTCCCTGCAAGGTGCGCAAGTGGAGCGACTGCTTCTTCTCATCGGCATAGAGGCGCAGGCGGGCTAGTTCGTAGTTTCTGCGCCGCTTGATGTCCAGAAACGAGATCCGTATGAATCCCGTGGCGGCCGCATATCGATTCAGGCAGTTCACAAAGCTGCTCCCACCGACACCCAAAACGTGCTCCAAGGTGGCGGCTCCATGGTGCAGTGGGCGCTGCACCTGCCGGAAAATGATGGCGGGCAGCATGGGTTAATAGACGTCCGATCCCTGGTTCAAGTGTAGACTCGTTCGCGGGCTCTGTAATCATACAAAATGCCCACAATCAGTTTCAATTCGTTGAGATCCGTAACCTTGATGCCAAATTGATCGGCCAGCGACCCTTGGCCATCTGTTATCACCAGCTGTAACACCCACCATTGGTCGGAAATCCTTGTTAGCTGATGGCACCTGGGTGCTGTACGAAATCTGAATTATTATTCGGTTACAAATTACAGCACTGCATTTACGGAAATTTTTAATTAAATTTTTGTTTTTATTACACAAGTCGGCTCCGATAACACTGTTCATACGTCGATAGCACTATCGATTTCAACGATTGCAACGCACAAAATGTGCCAAAATATGCTGCTTATTTATACCAAAACTACCAAACCTACATCGAGCGGTTTTTTGAAGTTATAAACTCCATAGCTCAACTTATCTTAATCGGATTTTGGAGTGGCATACCTCTAAATGTTTCTGGCGCAATTCTCTAAAAATCTGCATTCATATTTAGAAATCTATTTTTTTTTAAATTTTTTTGTAATTTTTCTGATGTATGATGTTGAAGAAATTCAAAAAAATTAAAAAATGCCCCAAGGGTGAAGTTCTAAACTCCATAACTCAGTTTATCTTAATCGGATTTTGGAGTGGCATACCTCTAAATGTTTCTGGCGCAATTCTCTAAAAATCTGCATTCAAATTTAGAAATATATTTTTTTTAAATTTTTTTGTAATTTTTCTGATGTGTGATGTAGAAATTCAAAAAAATTTAAAAATGCCCCAAGGCTGAAGTTCTAAACTCCATAACTCATTTTATCTTAATCGGATTTTGGAGTGGCATACCTCTAAATGTTTCTGGCGCAATTCTCTAAAAATCTGCATTCAAATTTACAAATATATTTTTTTTACATTTTTTTGTAATTTTTCTGATGCATTATGTTGTAGAAATTCAAAAGAATTAAAAAATGCCCCAAGGCTGAAGTTCTAAACTCCATAACTCAGTTTATCTTAATCGGATTTTGGAGTGGCATACCTCTAAATGTTTCTGGCGCAATTCTATAAAAATCTGCATTCAAATTTAGAAATCTTTTTTTTTTTAATTTTTTTGTAATTTTTCTGATGCATGATGTAGAAATTCAAAAGAATTAAAAAATGCCCCAAGGCTGAAGTTCTAAACTCCATAACTCAGTTTATCTTAATCGGATTTTGGAGTGGCATACCTCTAAATGTTTCTGGCGCAATTCTCTAAAAATCTGCATTCAAATTTAAAAATCTATTTTTTTTAAATTTTTTTTTAATTTTTCTGATGTATGATGTAGAAATTCAAAAAAATAAAAAATTCTATCTTGTTTATTGTAAATTTGTTGAAGACAGCATCTGTGGTTGTTGTTCTGGTATCAGCATGGGTTCTACGTTTATATTTATTATATTATATGCATTACCACTGACGCAATGGGCCTGATAGATAAAGACTGATATCTCATAAGCTGTAGCGCGTCAATGCGCCTTTATCGCCAACATGAAGCGCAGAAGAGCAAAGGACCCTCTATGCAGATTGTGAGTTCATTTTCCAAGTAATAAAAACTCAGTTCAAACGAGAAAAACATAACAGTTGTCATTTGCTGCTTATGCTGGTTAGTTCGTAATAATGAAACATATAACACTTTTTCTTGTGTTAGTTTTACTCGGAATCGCTTGTCAAAATAGCTCAGCGGCTGTAAGGGTATGTCTATTCGAAATGTGTTTAATTGAAACTTACATTATTTACTTTAAAGGATAAGAAAGTTCAAAATACTTTGAATAACATGAAAATTGAAGATGCGGAGCTAGCTTGGTCGGGTCTGTCACGCAAGCTAAATAAAAACCTGTTCCCCAAGTTCGAACGTCTTGCGAACCGGCTTGAAAATATTGAGCAAGACATTTTAGCACTAAAAATGGCTTCAACGTTCAATAAGGACAAGGCAAACTAGGAGGATACAATTACATTAGCCCACCGGAAACGCAAAAAACAAAGTGTATGCTAAAAGTTTTGTTGAAATATGCCAATAAAATTAAACCAATCTATAAAAATTTATGTATTTATTTACGGCAATGTATGGATTGATCCTATCTAGTTACTCACAGATAAACAAAACGCGTATCTCCTACATAAAAAATAATTTACAAGATTTTTTTTTAACTTAAGCTATCACCTTACCAACTGACGTGAACATATTTAACATATTGAAATTCTAAACTTCTGCGGTGACGAGAAATCATTGAAACTTGTCACAATATTCCTAAATTACTTTGTAAAGTACCGTAACCCTAAACGTAAATCACATCCATTTAAGACGTTTTGGCCATTTCGTGAGTTGTAGTTGTTTTTGGGTTGGGGTTTCGGTTTAACTTTTTAATGCGAGAGAAAAATTTTATGAAAATGCATTACTTGTTGACTACATTATCGAAATATATTACAAATAATTTCATTTTTTCATGCAAGTGAATCCAATATAGTACCTGTTATTCAAAGAGTAGGGTACATACACGTATATGTATGTCCGTATAAAAGAGTTTTATGTTTAAGAGCTGGAGCGTTGAATATATAAATTACTTTTCAGTGTTACTGTTGTAAAATATTTTATTGGCTTTAATTCATTTCGTATTACTAATTTCTATTCACATATTTCAAGATTGTTGTGTGAGAAGCTTACATCTGCACTTCATTGGCTTCGCATATGAAGTAGTTCTTTTTTGAGCATTGTACGTCGTTCATAGAATGGGGAACGAAATAAAAGAAGCCAAATGACTCTTCCATCTCAACACAATTTTCGCCTGCTTGGATAGTTGGTTCTCCATTGGCCCATTTTAGGAAAGGCGCCTTCTCTCCGGTGAATCGAGATACGTAATCGCCTTCAGCTGCCTCGTCATTTATGTCCACCCAATATGCCTTGAAATGAACCAAGTTGGCTGTAATGATTTCCCACTCTTTCTGGTTTTGGAGGCTAATAAGGTTACTGTTCAGGCTGCGGCATCTGGACACAGCTTCGTACCAGTTTAGTCGTTCCTTGTTCTCAATATGGTAATACTTGGCTCCGATCTTCTGAAAGTTCATATGCGGATTGGAGGCTTTTTTTACACTGGCATGCCTTTGTAACTTTGCTATTTGGTTTTCTGTGTCGGCAATATTTTTCAACAGTTCATTATGATAGTCAACCAATTTGTCTATTTTAGCTTTTAGCGCATCATAAAGCCCATTTATATCGTTAATTCTTCTCTCAAACTGAACTTGATCGAATTTCTCATCATTATTTTGTTGTTCTTCCACGGTTTTCAAAATTGGTGCTTCCTGCTTAATGAAGTTGAATTAGTTTTAAATTCTTACTGAAAATGTTAACTTACTGCTCCTCTTGTGAGGCAATTTTGACAAGAACTTGAGATCAAAATGATCAGGAGAATGCGACTCATGTTCCCAAAGGATGAATGCGTACTTTGATTTCCCATTCTGCAGGCTCGAGAATTTATAGCCTGGATTAGACCTTTTTACTGATGATAACAGTTTGACGTAAGACTGCGTTTTATTTATCTAAAGAAGTTTTACATTTATCAATTACAGCAGAGTTATAGAGGATATGTTATCTACAAATCCTGCGTCACACATTTTATCACCAAGCTGCATAGGTTTCTTACACGGCCTATAAAAACTTCATGCAGCTGCGAAGAAATCACAGTCAACATATTTTATTGGTGCTTAATACTCAAGGATATTGGACACTATGAAGCAGCTTATTGGACTCCTTATGTTGGGAGTCGTTGTGCAAATGAGCATCGCAGAAGTGGAGGTAAGTTTTTTCCTTAACAACAAAATACTTTTTTAACGCCTCAATCCTTAAGCCTGATCAAGATAAGGAATTAGAGCCCGCACCAAACAAAAAAGATGTCATCTTCGAAATCATGAAAAAGTTTTACAATTCGAAACTAACAAATGTTTCAGAATCTGAAGTAGGGGAAAAACCAATACAATTAAATGGAGAGGAATTGACCCTGGCGTACCTGAAGAAAACTGAACAGAATTGGGCGAACCTGCAGCAATCTATAAATGATTTTAAAACCACATTCGGCAGTTTGCCGGAGAGAATCACCCGTGTACACAATGAACTGAAAGAATTGGTAAACGATTTTAATTTTACCACGCAGAAACCTTAAGGAGTTTTCAAGAAACCTTGACTGGAGCCAAACCACGAAGATCGAGACGCTTTTTTTCGGAACCAACAAGGAAACTGAGCGATAGCTATAGAATTCGCATAATAAATTCAATAAAAAAAGACGTTTATTTTCTTAAGAAAGTATTTGCTTCAAGACTTGATCTTTATATGCTTATATACGCAAACTATGCGGGAATCATCATTAGTTTATTACATTTTTTCGAGCTCGGCTTGGTATAAATTTAATGAAGTCACCGTAATAAGGCTGACCGCAAGCTTTTCTGGACTTGTCAGTCATTTAATTGGATTTAATTTAATTACACTGCCACTTAAACCGCTCGGCTCCCCTCCTTGGATATGCAAATTAAGCCGCGTTTAACGCTTATTACTTAATATAAACTTTGGCAGCGGCTCGACCATGACCTGACCCCATCAGTCGGCTAATGAATTTTCCCGAAAGTTGCCAGGCCAAATCTGTTCCACGTTTAATGGTCACCATAATGGACATGCCCATCCCATCGGTTAATAAAGCCGAGCCAGGCAAATAATTATGAAAGACTGCCGACTGCCAGGTTGCATATTCGCCAGGTCAAGCTTTTAGAAATATATATCTTCCCGTTCGGGAGGTGGTGGGTGAGTCACGTCCTGGGTGACCCAGTAATTGAGGGCGGGGGACAAGGCGCTGACACTTACACGGAATTTCCACCCATTTCCACCCATTTCCACCCAGCAAGACAATGCATCGGCATTAATAATGAACTGCATGCAGGGGGTTCGGTCCAATAATGTCCAGGGCATGTCAACCGTCGGTCCGCATGTTAATTTCGAGAAACCTCGTTCCTTCGTTTTTCCCGATTTTCTGAATGACACTCACGGCTACTCAGTAGCTGTCTGCCATAAACAGGAAGCTCCAGCAGGGCGGGAAATGCGGAAAATGCGCGACAGTGTAGGAGATTGACAACTTTTTGTGATGCCCTTTCAATGGGTATGGCGCAAAAATGCGTAACTATTGATATCAGTTTGCAACTGGATCCAGCTTATAAAAGCAGTTACTGATGTGCAGCTTTGAACTAGAAACTATAATGCAATACTTTGAATGCCTTTGTAGTTACGATACATCATTCAACCTTTTATTGCCTTCATAAATACACTCTAAACCGCTGGTGCATACATACATACTGGTCGTACATATATATTAATAAAAATCTATGCTTCCCAGCGAACTGTGCTCTTGAATAGGGAACTCCAGCTTGATGTTCGACCTCAGCCAGTGTCCTTCCATTGCTTTTTATAATTTTTATTGGTTTTTTTCCTGCGCGTCTCATTGCGCTTCATTAATCAAAAGTAATTTTCCGCCTTTCACAGCAGTCCGCCCCCCAAACGCCCCGATTTCACCTGGTAAATGCTACCTACTGAAGATGTCTAACGTCAGCAGCGATGGCGGAAGAAACCGGAAGGGAAACGGCTGGGAAAAAACAAAATGATGGCAGCCATTTTGCATTAAGCCTGGACATTTGCTGTACGTGAGTGGGTGGGTGTGTGTGAGTGGGAGCGAGTGTGTGTGTGGGTGAGTGGGGCTAATTAACTGTTTTACATTAAGTGGCCATAAAGGCAGCCGAACGATGGGCATTTTAGCCTATTTTAATGCGCTTCCAGTGGCTGGCGGGCGTGATCGGCTCGGACAATGAAGAACGCTGGCCATTAGCGGCCATCTCTATACTATTCGGTCCATCCGCTCTGGCGTTTTCTTAAATGATTTACGAGTGCTTTAAAGGCCGTGGCCATAAAAGCAGAAGCCAACTTCATCTGGGCGCTCGCTGCTCGGACTTTGGTGTTTTCCTTTGTGCTTAATTTAATTAAATACTTGCTCGGACTTTTGCTCTTGCCCCTCACTCGGTCGAGAGAATGGTTAATGTGGTCAGCATAAATTGTGGCCAGCTCATTTGGCTTTAAATCATTTGTGGCCTGCTATAGCGCCTTGGCCCGCATATAAACCATATGAACAGAACATGAACTGGCAATTGCTTCAACTACTAATGAGCGAAAAGACCGGTCTTTATAGCTTTCTTCAGCAGGTGTGCTTCTGGGTTTTATGGCAATGAAGCTGTTTCCACACTGAGCCAACTTTTTCTATTCCGTTCAGTTTTAAATTACTTCTGTCTACGAAAACTGTCAATTTTTCGTATATATTTTAAACAAAGCTAATAGGACAACTATATTATTTTCCATGTAGTTATATTCTCTATGTTAAAACACAAGGCATGTGCCTTTTCCCAGTGGAAGGCAATCCAATTTCCATGCGGAGGTAAATCAAAAATCTGAGCACAATTACAAGTTTGGTTTTGTGGCCGGTAGAAGTTCAGGTTTTGGGAAATAAGTTTGCTTCTCCAATTTCGAAAATGCTCCACGGCCCGCCTGCAAATCACACGCCAATGACGACTAATTAGAGAGCAGAAGGCGATGGGCGATGGGCGAAGGGCGGAGGGCGGAGGCAGCTCTTCAGAGCAGAGTAACAATGACTTTTCAGAAAACTCCAACTATTTCCAAGCTGTGCAAAGGACTGCCCTCGTTTCATCAGGACCTCCCTCGACGGCCACGCCCCCAGTGGCCATATCCCTTTCCAAACGCCTCCCCACCCAGCTCGACTTTGCTTTGTTCTAAGTTATAAACCCACAAGTGGCGGCAAACTTTTGCTTTACGGTGTCGCCATCTTTTTTCCCGATGAAAATGGAGGCGGGGCGGGCAACTTAAAAGAAGATTAAACCGCAGCTGCCGGGGAATTCCCCTACTACAATTTTTATGGCACGGGTAGCGACAACTTTGCCTGGACAGCGCCACTTGAAATGCGAACGTTTGGCGATTTTCCGGCGACACTTGTCGAAAGTTACGCGTAATTATAGCAAAGTGCGGGCTTCCAGGGAGTGTGCTCGAGTTGGGCGTTTCCGCCTGGCCTGTCGCCGAGGGACCTACTTTAGTTTATGCCTAAAATCAGGTGCTGGGAACCCCGGGATACAGGCCCTAATATGCGGGTCCTTCACGCAGGATGATAGGTGTGACCCAAAAAAAGGGCAGGAGAAACCGCTCACAAATTAAGAAAGGGCTACTGATAAGGGAAAGTTCAAAGCACTGGCTTATTTACATATTTTGCTTGTGCCAAATAGTTCGCTTTAAAAGTTTCTGGTAAATAATTTTATACCATTCTTCAAATGGGCAATTTAACTTCCGCAATACTTACAAAATCTCTTTAGTAGCCAGTCTAGCCTGGATTACAACTCGTCTTAATTTGCTCATTTTAAACAGCATTCGACAATTTTGTGCAGCCCATTCAAACTTCGTCTCGCATTCAGAAAAATGTAATTTCGCCAACCCAAAAATAGGAGCAAAACTCTCGTCTGTTGTTGCCTGCAAATGAAATTCTTGCGAATGGGAAATAAAAGCGTAATTTTGTTGCAACTTGAAGTCCTCGCATTGCCATGGCGACAACATTAATTCGCTTTTAATATAATGAAGCCGCTTAAATGTCAAGACAATGGGACCAGAAACTTGAATCTGAACGTTTCAGCGGCAGTGGCAGCGGCCAAACCATCAATCAAAATTTCGACGAGGGCCGTATGAAAAACTATAATAAAATCATTAGCCTGGTAATCCCCAAGCGTTACGGAATCAAAATAAAATCATCAGCCCGGAATGATGATGAATGGCTGGCTCGGTCGACTGGTCGGCTGGTTGGCCAGTAGGCCCAAGTGGCCACCAGTGGCATCCATGACATAACTGGGCATCTTTCTGCACTCCAATCTCTTTTTAATAAACACAGCACAGCACAGCACAGCACAACACAACGCAAGGAAACAAAACACACAGCAACAAAGTGATTGTATTTTGTATGCTCCAGCAGCCAACACTCAACGGCAAGTCGGAAAACAGCAGTAAAAGCTATGGCGATGGCTCAGCGGCATCATTATCGGGAAAATCGTCCTGCATCGACGAGGTCCCAGTTCAGATCGGACTTTGTGAAAGAAAAATTGTTTTCGTGCACTACCCTTTAAAGGCGTTTGGTTGGGTTATCTATAAAACAGCTGTCACAAAGTAATTATGTTCCAAAAACCAGCTGGATTCATTCAATTCTAAACGATTGTAAGCCTAAAATGTATCTTAGTATATGAAGATACTACTAGTGTACGCAGTTAGATGTATCTGCTATGTCATAAAGTACATATTATGTATGGACAAAACGTTAAGCTACGTAAACAGTACTAATCCTATCAGATTTTCTTATATAAGCCAAAGGGTATTAACGTTTTCGGCTTGCCCTATATTCGTCATGCATTTTTGGGAAAGAAAAATGAAAATGTTTAACGGAAAAAATAAAATACTCACGTTCCTCCTAGGCGAACGTGATTCAATTTGTTTTGTTGGTTAGAAAACTAAAATAGCAAAACCAAGCCACCAGAAAGGAGGGAAAATATAACTAAGGCCAGCATGGCCAAGCAAAGTAGAGGAAAGCAGCGAGGAAAGCACCGCAAAGTAAGGCGAAAACAGGAAAAATTATAGGACAAGCAAAAACGTTGGGCGGAAAATGTGGATTGGGGGCCATCCGTTTGGTCACTCGGTGCTCTCCGCTCGGCGAGAAGACCGAAAGCGATGGGGAAATGGAAAAATGTTAAAAGGCAGCTGGATGAGTCTTAAAGCCAGGATTGAGGCTACTCTGTTTTTGTCTTGGCCGCCGGCGGGGTGCTCAAGAAGGCACTGTTCTATGAATGCGAATCGCTGCACTGCAGTCCCTGCTGTTTTGCCCCAAAAAGTAGGCAACAAAACAGGCGTGGGCAGAAGAGGGTGGAAGGTGTAGTTGGGAACAAAAAAAATATAAATATATTAGTTATTTTAAAGTATAACCATATATACTTACAACATTAAGTAAACGCAGTGGCTTTAGTAGCCAACAGCTAAGTTGCTATTGCCATGGTTGTGAAAATGATATTTCTTTACTAATATAATGCAACTCTTCTAGCTGCCCTCGCACTCCGGAATAAAGTTAAATACATAGCGGCCGAAAAAGGCAGCCGCCCACGCATCAAGGGAGACATATTGTACTACATTGTAACATGACCGGACTATTG